GTAGTGAGGTTGGCCCTGGATGGGACATTGTTTCATTCAGCTGTGCATGGGGTTGCTATGAGTCGGTTCCGACTCAATGGCACCTAACAACAACAACAACAACAGTTTCCCTGCCACCTTAAAAATTTTTGACCATTTAGTCTACTATAGATTATTTTTCTTAAAAAACAACTCATTATTCATGGGTGATATTCTTTATTGTATGAACCAATAGGCTACTTGGCTAAAAGATGACCTCAAGGGATAATTTCAGATTAAGATTTAAAGTGCATCTCAGAGTGAAGGCTAAATCTTGGGATGTCCTCTATTCTCAACCAGTCCAATAGGTTTGGACTTTTAAAGAATTTGAATTCTGGTGTACATTTCTCTCCTATTCTATAAGGATCCACTTTTTGTGACCCTAATCAGAATAGTTGGTAGGGTAGTTAGAAACTATGCAGTTCTTCTGACCTCAGGATATTTTAGGCCATAATTCATGGGGACTGTAAATTAATCTTGTAGACTAGTTTCTTCTCTGAGTCACTAGTTTCCTTTCTTTTTTTGTTCCAGATTAGTAAAGACCAATAGTTGTATCTTAGATGGTCTCTTACAAGCTTTTAAGACCCCAGACACTATTCAACACAAAGGAATGTAGACCCTACACTTTATAATTTATATTAGGTCAGTGACCTTAGTTGACCCATGAGACCAATGATCCTAAGCCTTCAAACCCAGAAGACTAATCTCATGAGATGTTTGGTTATATCTAAGAAGTATACATACTTGTGTCATTTATGGGCACTAGTATCTACATATGAGTGGAAATGCATGCATGTACACACATAACTGTATGTACAAATGCCTGTAGATATTTCTATTTGTGCACATATGTGTTCACATATCATACTCATATACTTATATGCCTATCTAAAAATTTGCATAACAAAACACATATATTTGGTGGTTGTTGCAAAATTACATTGTCATATCCTTTACCAAAGACACCCTCTTCTCTTGTGCATCCTCTTCTTAGTGAAGCTAAGTGTACTTCATCCACTTCAATGCTACCTTTCCCATCACCAAAAATAGCAAGGATCCTATAGTGAGTGGTTATAAATTGGGCTGCGAACTGCAAGGTCAGCAATTTGAAACTACCAGCTGTTCTGTGGGAGAAAGATGAGGCTTTCTGCTCCTGTAAAGATTTACAGCCTCGGAAACTGTACAGTGTCGCTATGAGTTGGAATCGACTCCATGGCACATAACCACCACCACCACTCTATCTTAATAAGAGCTTTGCATCAGCCTGCTAATCACAAAGTCAACAGTGAATTCACCAGCCACTCTGTGGGAGAGAGATGAGGCTTTCAGCTCCCATATAGATTTACAGCCTCAGAAACCATATACAGGGTTGATATGAGTGGAATTGACTCAACAGCACACAACAACAATTTCAATAGTGTTTCTTTCTCTACTTCCCTCTCCCTCCACTGCCACTCATCCTTGGTAATGACTCCTGAGTGTTGTTCTCTATATAAATATCTATTCTTGTCTTCTTACAAAAGTGCCATTATATATTTGACTTTTTGTGATTATCTTATTTCATTCTGGAGTCATCTCCTTCAAATTCATCTACATTATGTTTCAAGAACTTATCATTATTCTTTATGATTGCATAATAGTCCATTGTGTGTATATACCACAGTTTGCTTATACATTCATCTGTTGATTGGCACTTGGGTGTCTCCATTTTCTTGCTATTGTGAATAATGCTGCAATGAAATTAGGTATGCATATGTCTATTTGTGTGACTGCTATTAGATCTCCAGGGTAATGTGATTCATGGACATAAAGCATTTCTATTTCCAGCTTTTTGAGGACATGCCACACTGTTTTTCATAGTGGTTATACCATTTTACAATCCTACCAGTAATGGATAAGAGTTCCAACCTATCCTCACTGGGGTTTTTTGGTACATTTTTTATCAGTACTGTTTTTCTTCTTCTTCTTTTGCAGGGATGAAATGGTATCTCAGTGTAGTTTTGAGTCCAGGTATTCTTCTTCTTCTTTTGCAGGGATGAAATGGTATCTCAGTGTAGTTTTGAGTCCAGGTATGACACTGTGGGTTAATGCACTGGACTGCAAAGTTGGTTTGATCTACAAGGTCGGTGGTTCAAGCTCACAAATTGCTCCTTGGAAACCCTACACAGGGTTGTTATGGGTCGGAACTGCTTCAACGGCACTTAACAACAACAATGGCTAATAGGAATCCTGGTGTGGTGCTGTAGGATACACAGTTGACTGCAAGCTCAGTTTGAACTGAAAGGGTGGTGGTTCAACCTCACCTGTACAGGGTCGCTGTGAGTCCAAACCAACTCGACAGCACTTGACAAAAACAATGGCTAGTAATTACAAGCATCTTTTCAGATCTTTGTTGGTTACTTAAATGTTTTCTTTGGTGAAGTTTTATTTGAAGGATTATTTGTCTTTTTGTTGGTGAATGTTAAAGTTTTCTGTAGATTTTAGAGATTAAACCTTTTTCAGGTTTGTTGTCCTCTAATATTTCCCCCAGTCTGTAGACTTTCTTTTACTGTCTTTTGATGTGTTTATTTTTCAGGATGTCCCAGTTATCTAACTTGTCTTCTGTTATTTGTCCATTTGTAGTTATATTCAATCTACTTTTATATCATTCTTTAAAATTTTTTGTTAGCTTTGTAATGTAAATAATAGTAATGTGAAAGTATGTATATGATTCATAAATAAATGTGCATGTACTGGGAATATGTGTTTAACAACATTTCTAGTGGTAAGGTGTAAGTCTAAAGAAAACGTTGTGGAGTGCGTCTCACTTAATTCTGGAAGATAATTTTTCTAGAAGGCATTCAGAGCTATCAATGCTGTACATCTAATTCTTTGCAACATCAAGAACTTTCCAGGCCTCATTATAACAGAAGAAACGAAAACAAGCTACTAACAATGAAGACATTTGAGGCAAGTTTCCTCCTTTGAAGAGAAAAGACTCTGCACGCGTTATAAGACCCTAGCCTATGACCAGAAGGAAGTAGGTAATAGGCAGCTACAATAGAAAGTTCTGCTTGCTTTGTTCTGGTCCTTGGACACAGATCATTGTTGGCTTTGGCTTCATCTTATTAACATTCTTAGGCAGGAGTAATACTTAAACAACATTGAACGTCTCTGCAAATATCATCATCACCACCACCACCACCAAACATACTGATTTAGTCTCTTCTGATTTACCACTGTGTACATTTGAAAAATTCTTGATGGTTCAAGAGATAAATAGAAAAATTCCCCTGGGAAAACCCTTTGATCTAATGGGGTAAATAAGAAAGCAATGTTATCATTTCTGGGAGAAGAAGGCACAATTTATTTAGTCAAATTATTTTACAACATAGTCTCCATTGACAGTTGTCAGCTTAACACTTAATATAGTTTAAAAAGTCAACGATTACCTGAAAAATTATATATATTTTAATATCTAAAAATATATTGCATATGTAGAACAGAAGATCCCTTATATCCACAAGGGAAGGTTTGGTTGTTTTTTCCAAGTTGTGAGGATTGCAGTCCTGTTATTTACAAACATTTCCAAGCATTACAGATTTAAATGGTTTGTTTTTTACTTCTTTGTGCACTCCCGTTAAATAACTGCACTAGTGCTTCTCTTTCTAGCAAGTCTGAGACTCAAATAAACTGTTTTCTTTTCTGTAATAGTCACATTATGCTTTTTAAAAAACCAGCTATAAAAACGTACAAACAGCCCAAATGTACAGATTGACAAAAGATGTACAAATTACACTTAAAAAAATAACGACTGATTTGATAGTAAAATTGTTATTTGTGACCGAGGTCAACTCGTTTATTTATTCTTTTTAATTTTTTTATTTACTTATTTTTAATACTGTGAGATATAGCAAAATAACTCTGCATAATTTATACAGTAAGTTGCCTTCTGGTTGGTTGACCCTGGACTGACGGTCTGACAAACGCACAGCGCTTGCGAATCTGCTTGTGTTTAGAAATCCCTAAGACTCTTCCAAGTTTTGGGACCCACTGTCATTATTCAAAAAAAAAAAAAAAAAAAAAAGCTATTAAAATTTTGTAGCTTCTATCTTGACTATTTCTAGAGAGAATGGTCAGTCTAGTGCACCCTGCCCAC